AATGAGTTTCTGTGCAAAACAAGTGCTTTGGAGAGAGATGAGCGGTTACTCCAGAATGGGTTTGAAGTCACCCCATAGATGACCAAAGCAGCACACAGAAAGCAGCTCCCCTAGTTATAATACAGATCTTTCATCAGTTTTCTCTACATGTAAAGTTACTCCCTGGAGAGCCACTTGCTATCCCAGAGGACAGGAGTAAGAGACAAGGTTATATTACTTCATCCAACACTTTCAAGCACCTGGTGACAATACGAACAATCATTTTATCCAACAGACTTGTCTGGTGACAGTGAATTCTCCAATCCTCCCTCAGCTCCAAGTTAAGAAATGCAGCAGTCATTTTATTAAAAATCAGTATACAGTTGAATATAAGCCCAGTGTTTACAACCAACCCCTCTAGTAGTTCCAGGTTTCTTGTTGTTATACAGACTATTAGCAACCAAAGGAATCAGTAGCATAAAGAAACCACTATCATTTAAAAAAAAATTAACGTCCCCACTTCTCCAAGAAAGCAGCATCCACAATCAGTTTGTTTTCCATTGGATTTGCTCTAAGAAACAAGAGTTTTCAACATCATTTTGCAGGCAAATCTTATATTTTAACAGTAATTGCTGTTTGCTTTATCATACAGGACAAGGGTCTCTAAGAAGCTTCACAGCGCTGATAAAATAACCCTAAAAGAGCTCTGTCAATTTTTCCTGCGATTTACCTTCTAGAACACCAGCAATGTTTGAGATTTGTTTAACTACTTGAGTTGAAATTAAAGGTGGAGAGGTGGCCCCAATTCACACAATTTGGCAAAAAGATCATCCAAGAATTAAGATCTCCAACGGCTGCAGGAAACACACGGAGGCCTTCTCCATGCTCCCTCGAAGCATCCAGCGGTGCTGTAGGAGGTATGTGTATTCACACCCTCATACCCCTTTCAGTTGTTACAGCTGTTCACATTTCGGCTGACTGCTTCCTTCCCTCCTCCAGTCATCCAAAGCACAGAGTAGCCTCAGTGGTGTAACAGCAGCTTGCCAGAAGGAGGGAAAGTCCAGCCAGCAAGAGATTTAATTTATTAAGATAAACATGGTCTAAGGCTCCACGTTTTTTTTTTTTTAAATAAACACAGTAAGAAATGTGAAAACAAACTGGCTTTGCTACGTGTAGGTCAGGTTCAGACGTTCTCAGAAAGATATTCTCAACCATACAACCTTCCCCTCTCACCCCCATCATGAGGATGGGAAGACAGTTCACTATGCAAGATCAGCAGTCTCCCTGTTCCGTGCCCTTCCACATCCAGTGAACAAAACCTCTGTCACCCTTCAGGGCAGATCAAAGTTTTAAGAACACCCCTGTGAAGAAGGAGCAGAAGGGGAGAGGGGCAGGTAATTCAGTCTCTGAAACGAACACCTAAGTCTTGACACGACGACTGTGTTGACTCGACCACTTTAATGGTTGTTCTTGGCAGCCTCTTTAGCTGCAATAATCAGAGGAGTGAGACTGGATAGAGGCTTTGCAATTTTCAGGAACTGGTGCTAGGAAGAAGAAAAAAGAAAAAGGGTTACATTTTTCAGAACGTGCCCCAGAAGTCTGGTGGCTACTCAAAATATTGGCACCTAGACCCATATGAAGCCTAACAACCTGCTCTAATCTCTGAACAGGTGAAACCAAAAGGTCCGTTACCACCACACACTTTTGGGACCTGCCTGAACTGATGAACAGATTTGCACCCAACACATGTAAATTCTCCAATATTTGTACATGTTCAAGACCAAGCAAAATTCAGTGAATTTCACCTAGGGAATTATAAAGTCTTGCAAAATCTATTGGGAAATTCTGTGTGGAAGGAAGGTGTAACAAAAACAACCTGCGTGGTTCAAACACAAGGCACATGGCTTCCTGCAGGCATCACCTCTCATTTCTCTCTTCCCTGTTATCACAGGTCTGGTGAAAGCAATGCCTTGGCCTTCCACAGATATTAGAAATTTGCAAAGCAGCTGGAATTTAGGAGAGCAGCACAGATCTTGCAACACAGAACCATTCAGTCAGTCTCCTATACAAAGTACTTTGTTAGGTAAAACTATTGATTACTAAACAGCTCTCAGATGAGAGTGAAGGCATGCAGGGCAAGTTCACACGCTGTTCTGGAAGAAAAAAAAAAAAAAAAAAAAAAAAGAACTACATCCCACAGGACTTGTGAGCATCAGAAGGGATCAATCACCTTCAGAGATGGAAGGAAAAAAAAAAAAAAAAGAGGCTAAAAGGTAGTTAAAACCAGGCACAAACGTTACAATCAAAATGTTCTCCTGCTCCAAGGAACAGAACATTACTGCTTTCTGATATTTTGGGGCTGGAAAGTCCAGGAGAAAAAGTGATCTTTCAACTACTGCCATTCCACCGGTGATTAATGCTTCATTACAGTCTCAGAAGGCAGCAACACATCCAAAACTGAATCCGCTACACAAACTATCAGAAAGAAAGGAAAACAAAACCGGGAACTGTCTCACAGTTGAGGTTTGAGTGCCCCTGATCACAGATTTATTTTACAAAGATCTACATTTTCCACGCCCACAGCAAATTTGACAGAAGGAACACACAAACCAGTCCTCTCATCCACATCGGTAAAAAGCCTGGCAGCTTGGCCCTCCTTTTTCACCAGGATTTCAGACTAAGACACCAGGTTTTCAATGAAGTAACTATTGATAGAGTGCTGAGACACTGGAACAGGTTGCCCACAGTAGTTGTGGCTGCCCCATCCCTGGAGGTGTTCAAGGCCAGGTTGGATGGGGCTTGGAGCAACCTGGTCTAGTGAAAGATGTCCCTGCCCACGGCAGGGGGGTTGGACTAGAGGATCTTTAAAGGCCCTTTCCCACCCAAACCATTCTGTGATTAAGATACCTCATAAGCTTTGTTTCATCACCTCTGTAAGGAGTAATACCTGGCAAAATGTTGTAAAGCCAAAATGCTCCAGTTAATGCAAGCCATGCATATTCCACATAGCTTTGTGACCCCTCCACCAGAAAGGAGACAATCAGAACATCCAATAGCTAGAAGCCCTCCTGCTGTTCAAATCGGAACAGGCATGGCCAGACCATGACAACACGTACAGATATCAGGTGCAGCTGTGTGAAGAAGCCATTGGAGTTAAGGGGCTCAGCATTTCGCAGGCCTGGGGCACAGCTATTATTTGAAGTTGGTTACAGTACATGCTGCACAGCTGCTGCTAGTAGCAAGTACAGCATAAGAAGGGAGTAGTCTGTTAACAATTATAGATTAAGGTTTGGGGGTTGTTTGTTTTGGTTTTTTTTCTGGCAGGTTATCTTAGCTGTGCTTGTGCCTTCAGCCAATGCGGTATTTAAGACACCAAACAAGATCTCCCCATAAGTCCGGTGTCACTCAGGATTGCATGATTACATTGATTCAGCCCTGTTCCCCATTACCTACCTGTAGCAGCTCTTTCGCAGAACCTCTCTTCTCCACATCCATTTCAAGACAGCGATTTAAGAAGTCTCGGAATATGGGGGAAAGCTTTTCCGGATTCTGCAGTTCTGGAGTCCCGTTAGTAGCAATGAGATACAGGGCCTAAAGCAAAAAACAAGCACCAAAGAAACAGGAGGTTATGAAGGTTAGATTCCATCTCTGGATTACAGAGACACCCATTTCTGCTCTCCCTCCTCCCAGTTCAATGGAGAGGAAAAAAAAACCCACCTTATCAGGGTCACTAATCAATGCTTAAGTTTCAGCAAACAGAATAGCTGCCAGCCCTATTTTTATGTGGATGGGATCCAATCCTTTATTGTTTTACCCTCCTAATCTGGGTTTGGATCCTGCAGCCCTCTCAAGGGATTAGGAGGACAAAAACAACATTCCAGGCCGTGTTTACTCAGGGAAGTTAGCTGGCATGACTCTACCAGTGCTAGACTCCTACAATAACTATATCCTCATGGGAAGGTACCCCTGAATAAATAGGAGATTTTGTTCTGTTGGTACTTTGCCTGAGTGCACAAGGCCTAAAACATCAATACGATAGAGATGCAGTTGGCTCCATACAAAAGATGTCCAGCAGATCCTCAAGCAGCTTTTAACATCCTGCAGAAACAGAGAGTTCTGCTACTGCGTGGGGATGAAGCGTTCACATCCACCCCTCTCTGAGAATCAAGGAACTCAGAACTCATCCATTTCAGGAGTTCAGGCAAGAAACTTCCTGGATGGATTTTCAAAGGAAATGGAAATCTCTCGGAGACTTGTTAATATGCAGGTCCTTTGAGCACATCACTCAGCACATCCCATGGGAGCCATCTGATAGTCTGGGAATTGGCACAAGTTGAGTTAAATGAGGCCAAAGTACTCTTACTTAACCAGCCTTAAATTTAACTCAACACGCAGTTTCTTTCCTTTCACTCTTCTTTGCTGCTGCTCTTCTCCCCCCAAAATCACTTCCAGTGCAAGGGATGGAGACAAAAGTTAAACAAAATTTTTCTAGATCCCCTCATCTCATGTGGCTGAGGGAGAAGCCGTAAAACTGGCTTATATTAACTGCAGTTACATCCCTACAAACTGACAGCATCTCCCCTTTCATTAAAAACTAAACAAGGGAAAGACATCAGGAGGCTTAAGTCCTGTCGAAAGACTCATTAAGCTTGTAGCTTTATTTGGAGAACATAGGGAGGAACAATTTGCCAGTAGGAAAAAGCTCCATTTATAGAATAGTAACATGTCATATTTTTGAACTTAAGGAGAACTCTTCCCCACTCACAGGGCACAAGGATTCAAGAAGTCTGCTGCTTTGGTGACATCAGGTACTCTTTCTGCCTCTATCAGCATCTCCAGAAAGTGGTAAATTATGAGTGCGCATGATCTAACTCATCAGAGGTGACCAGAGGGTCTGCAGCAGAAGAACCCAACCTCTGCTACCCAGAACCAACTATGGCTTTTAGCTAAAACTATCTCAATCTTCTCACTGCAACATCTACACTATACGGGGCTGCAGGTGGTGAAACCACGCTGGAGGATTCCCCTTCCTCCTTTAGAGCCCAGTTTCACCAACGGGCCCAGTAAAGACCTGCAGGCAAAAGATGCTTACTCTCAGAGGGTTCTCATTGAGGTAGGGAGGCTCTCCTTCAATCATCTCGATGGCCATTATCCCCAGTGACCAGATATCCACTTTGGGCCCATATGCCTTCCGCGTCACCACTTCAGGTGCCATCCAATATGGGGTCCCCACCATGGTACTGCGTTTGCTCTGCTCAGGAGTGATCTGGGCACAGAAGCCAAAGTCAGCTGGAAAATTAAAGAGGGGGGAAAGAAACAGATGTAGAAATCAGCAAGTTTCTCCAAAACCAAGCCAAAGCTGTAGTACAAGTTACCCCGCCGCATCATCTGGTGTGGTGCTGCTGCAACTGTGAAAGGAGGGGTGGTTTTATGGCTAATCTAAAAGACGGTGTTGAGAAGTAAGTTTCTAAATCTGCCTCACTGAGGCCATGAGGATAACAGAGCTGCTGACTTGTCTATGTGAACAATGGTGATCAGTAAATAACCGTATATGGACGTTGAGACACTTGAGTGTGTATGCAGCATTATGCAGCTGTAATACACTATGTAATATATGGTTTAAAGATTGTTCCTAGGTATGTGAAAATAGAAATTAATGCACAGCCTGATCTAGATACACACACCCCCCCAACCCACATACTATACTGTCTGGTGATATTTCAGTCCCAGAGATATTACTTCCCCAGTAGATATATCATCCCTCAAACAGGATTTGCTTTACAGAGAAAACAGTGTTCAGAATCAATTTAAAGTACCTAAATTTATACTGATTATTTTCTTTGAATAGACAGAAAAATGTAGAGTCTTCACACAAAGATTGCAGGGCCCTATGTTTTATTTGTATTTAACTTACTGAAAGAAAACTAATTCTGTTCTTGTGAGCCCAGCAGAATCAACAAAGCAAGATGCATTGCCCATCCTGACCCCCTATGGCACCACGGGTTTAATTTTAGGCAGAATGATGAAAATTAAACTGATCCCTAGCTGAGTTTTCATCAAGGCTAACAACCAGGAAAGGTACATATGGTTCATAAACAGAGCAAGTTTCCAGCAGAGCCAATAAGCAGCTCAAGTCCAGAAGGTTACCGCATCATATCCACAGGGACTTTTCTAACTTTAAACTACAGCCCGGTACCTGCCTACTGTGCTCAAAGAAGTTATTCCGTAAGAACAGAGCACTCTGGCCCTGATCAGCTATTCATCGCCAACACTCACAATCGCCAACACTGTACCAAAGTACAACTTTAGTCTAAAAAGCAATTATGTGCAAAAAACCCCACCTTCTTACTCAGCATATCTGCACTGTGTGAATTTTGAGTCATATCTGCTGTCACTGCCGACAAAAATAGATTTATTTATGCCTGTTGGGTGCTAGCCAACAGAACTGAGAGGAAGAGAAAGGGAGCACAGTTTTGTTAAAGCTATAGGTGGAAGATAATTATTCACTGGTTTCCAGACTTATCTCTGCATCGGCAATCACAAGCACAACAGCTACCTTAGCACCCAAGGGGCAGAACAGTCTCAAGGTCTTCATTATTGGTGATAACACAAGGAGGAAACAACATTTAGAGTCCAGTCTGGGTTGGCATTGTAAGATTAAATCTTTTCTAGTTACAGAGTTTTCAATTCTCCCTCCACTCCCCCTGCTCCCAAGTACCTGCAGTATTTTCCAGACTGAAGAGATCGCTCAGAAATAAAGACTTCTGGCCCTACACCTTCAAACGCAGCTTTGTAGAGTGGAGTAGCATTAAAATACTGTTATTTCAGTCCACAAAAACAGACGGTCCAAAGCTAAACAAACCCCAAACCTCGCTTTGAGTCCGATATCAGTTCACAAGGATTCACGCTTGCCAATCTCCATTAAAACCAATACCACAAAAACACCTACAGGAGCATTTCTACAGCCTCTTCATTGCCACAGCATCAAGCATCTCAAACACCCATCTCCCCAACATGCCTGGCCCATAGCAGATAACAGCCCTGGATTGATAACTCAGTCATCGGCAGTGCTGTTCTTCACATACTTAGTTTGACAGAGCCATCCATTCCCAGCAGAATGTTGTCACTCTTGATGTCCCTGTGAATAACTTGGTTTGAATGGAGGAATTCCAGAGCTTGGAGACACTGGGAAAAAAAGATAAAAATAATTGAGATATTCTTACTGTGCATGACATTACTCACCAGTCACAATTAGCCAACTAATGGACTCTACATGCATTTTGAGTAGCAAAGGCTTAGTGTCTTAGAGCCTTCCATATACTCAGTATGTGCAGGGCTATAGAGAGAGATCCCACTGGGATCAGCAGGTCCTAGGAGGACAAGTTAGTCCCAAAAGACTTGGAGAACAGGCATAACCAGGGGGATTCCAACCCCATTTAGCACTCCAGTCCTCCCTCTAGGATGAAATACATCAGGCTTGTGTTAGGATTGTATGCTGCAACCTCCCAGATGAAACCCATCCTCGGAAAGAATGACTGTTGCATTACAGAAGCTGGAGACAGCTACGCCTGTGGAGTCACTGACAGGCCATGGAAAGCCCGTGACCCCTTCCCAATCATAGCTCCCTCCGAGTGCGAGTGCTGCTTTACCTCTCGGCACACAGCTGCGATTTGTCCTTCGTCCATGCAGGTCTCTGTCACGACATCTGTCAGGGATCCTCCTGCCAAGTACTCCATGACCACCCAGAGCTCTTCTCCTACAAGGTAACTGAAGAGCCAAAATCAGATTTTAAAATCAGCAAGTATGAGCATGCCTCACCATGAGGCTTGAGCAGCATTTTTAACAGTACTGGGGCACCAGGTACTTGTGGTACTTTCTGTATGTGGGATCACAACCTGAATGAGCAGAGGGAAAGGGGAGTGCAGAAAGTCGAGGAGAGAGGTAATGGGAGAGCAGGCTACAAGTTTCCTGGCTGTAAAAGCAAGGTGGAATTTTTCCACCATGGAAAGGGCCCAGACTAAGATGGAGACCCGACCTTACAACTCCTGCTGCCGCTGGGAGAGAAGGGGAAGAGCTACTAGTCAAGGATGGGGTCCAAGCATGCAGCGCAGACATCTGGCACAGCGTGGCTTTTGAGGGCTCTTGCATCAGAAGTGGCTGGGGGCTGCTTTATCACCACTGGCATCCTCCTGTCCTAAGCAACTGCCTACTTCGCCCAGGCCAGGGACAATCCTGGGTGATGCAATGGATGGCTGCCCGCAAACAACTGAGAAAGAACACTTTTCTTTAAGCATTTGAAAATCATCCCAATCTTTTTTATGCTACCAAACTAGTTTGGGATTTTGTCTGAAAAAAAAAATCAGCACTATTCCTATGGGAAAATGAGAACATCTTGCTGGATGCAATAGGAATTCTAAAGACTTAAAATAAAAAAGAAAAGCCCAAAAGGGCAGGTCTTGTCCAAAAAGGCCCATAGGAAGATGGGGAAGACACAGATGAAGTGAGGGCGAGTTTTCTAAGCCATTTGGGATATTCTTCTCTGCTGGGAGTGTATGTGCTCATGTCTAAAAGTAGAAGACCTGAGATGAAGACTTCAGCATTAACTCATTTAAAAAAATCCAAACAACAAACCCAAACCACCAACCACTTCTGCCTTTTTGGGCCCTTCTGGAAAAACAGCAATACAATCTTCCATGACAGATACACCAGGATGACACATTCCTGAAGGAAGGAATCATCAGCCTGAAAACTTGAAAACCCACCATCTCAGCCTATCTTCCTATTTTTAAAGGGAGCAGACAGATGAATCAAGGGAGAGGGCAGAGAATCTAATTAAAAACTTCTGCTAGCATTAGAGTTCATCAAACAGACGCCTGCTTTGCTCTGAAACTCTGATCCTACTAAAGAGTGAATAGTGAATTTGCAAAGAGCCAAAGGCAAAAAGCAGGACAGGTTCAGGAAACTATTAGCTAGAAAGCAACAATGAAGGAGGAGGAAATTAAGCTCAACTTGGCATGGAAAGTAGACACAGGTGAGATATCACAGGAGTGGGTAGGAGGTACACTTTGACCCTAAAAAGACACACTGCCAACACCCGAGCTGATAAAAAAACTCCCCCAAAATAAGAACTGTCGTCTGAGCTGTGTGACAGAAGCATTACAGTTATGAAGAGCTTTTAATATTAGAGACAGAGATGGCATCTCGGTCTGGTGATGCTGAAGACTATGTAGGGAGGCAGAGTCTGGAGTTTCTTTCGGGTTACAGAGCCCAAGGACACAGGGATACACTCCCAGAGCAGACAGGTGTCCAATTCCACTACGGAAGAGAAACTGATGCACTGGCATTTTTTTCCCCGGCATCACAGATGCCAGCAAAAGCAGTATCACTTGCACAGCAGCCCCTTGGAGCGGCAGCGGAACAGCAGAATTGCTTTCAGAAATATTCCTGCCAACTCTGTGGGTCATCTACCTTCTAATGGAATCTGAAAGCCGCTCCATCCACACCCCTCCTTCCTGCCCCAATGCTGTTGCTGCTGCTTCATCACTCCTGCCAAACCAGGCTCTCTCTCTAGATTTTATCACCATCCTCTCAACAAATCAGTGTCACAACGCTTCCCTTTGTTACCACTAGCATCCTCTGCAGCCCAAATCCACTTGACTGTAAGGATGGGGGCAGAATGGGCTCCACCGCTCCCGCGCGACAATCTCATGTTGCACATGCTGGGACCAAGCTGGTATCTCTCCGCAGCCAAAAGGGATGGAGCGAGCCAAGAACCACACTGTGAACCAAAGCTGTGCCATGAGCAGCCGAAGGCATGTGCCAAGACCCAGGCACCTCAATAATTGATTGATCTGACCCAGCAAGCAGGGTGATGGAATTAATGGGGGCCCCCCGCCAGCTGTCACTGAGTGAATGTCATTTCAGATGACTGGGTGGTGCCATCTCAGGGATCTTTTCACTCTCTTGCTGCAGCAGAGGCCAGTTTTAGTCACTGAGCTGTCTACTGTAGGCGTGCCTCAAAACCACTCTCTCAGCAGTTCGAGACACCACTATACACCTACATCCTGCTCTGCATGTAACGTCAGGCATAGCATGGTGTCGCACCTTGTCACCCACAGTCACCTGTCACCTTCCAAAACAACACCGGCAGTAAAAACAAACTGATGAAAGTCTATAAGGAAGAAAGAGGTGGTCTATAGGTTTCTCTTCATCCACCTGCAAGAGCAGGTAATGTCTGCTCCTGTAAAGTGTTCTTCAGCTTCCACTTAGATACCTTAGGAAACCGTCCACCAAGCCCTTCCTATCACAAGCACACATCAGTCAGTCATAGTTCTTTTTGATTGATAAACTATAAAATTTGGTTTTGCCCAGAAGAGAAGGATCATTCATGACAGATTTCTGCATCAGTAACGTGCCTCCAACATGCAAATATGAAGTGAGCCTGGAAAGAAATCAGCATTTTCTTGTAGCATGACTGTCATATCTTCAGCTTTAGTCACGGACCTTCCAGCCCTAACTGAGTTTGGGGTTAGGGTGAGGGTAACAGTGGCTACCACTTAAAGTGAGGATTTGTGAGGAATATTAGGTTAAGAAGAGTTCTTCAGAAAGAAAGAAACGAAAGGGCAGGAGTTTGCTTTGCCTAACACTGGGCATCTGACACCTGTGTTTAGATGCCCGAGTTTACAAGTAGGGCTCTGAGGGCCTCTTTCACGCAGCAGAAAGAAAACTGGCACCTCCAGAAGGTAACTCAGCACAAGTGGCTGCTTGTCTGCACTGGAAAACTAGCATCACTGTCTTCAGAGGCAGATGCTTCTAAATTCAGCTCCTAAGTACAGCTGAACTAGGCCATGACATCATCTTAAGTGTCACAGCACAGCTTCGTGCAACACTGGTCACTCACGCTGCAGCAGAAAAGCTGTCTGAGGCACAAATGCACTGTTTGCACAGTGATGTCTGGGCAGACAGTAAACCAGCCAGACCTCTTAACCATGAGCAAGTAGGCCATGCCAGTAAGAGAGAATAAAGCACAGGAAACCCCTAGATAAGGGCAGAAGCTGAGGCAAAGAGAAGTGAGAGAGCTGGTTTATTTATACCGGTGACTACCTTGCAGCTCCCATTAGGGAGAAAACAGAAAAAACTGTCAAAAACAGAACCACAAAAAAAGAAACCAGTTCCCACAGCATCACATGCATCCTTCCTCATACTTCTGCAACAGCAGTAGGCAGAAGCCAACAAGCGACGTTCAAAGATCAGCTTCATTGAGCGCTCAGAAAGCAAACAAGCAGATTAGGGCAGGCAGGAGGGATGCAGCTCCCCAGCAACAGGATCCTGCAGTTGCAAAGCTGAAGTGGCATAATAGGCACAAGAACCCCCATGTTCATCCTTGTTGCTGCTCTGTCCATTTGCAGCACTCAAACAAAAGCTAATCCCCCTGAAAAAGATTAGTGAGAGAAAGTGGAGAACAAAAGCAGCAGCTTTTGCTGCTGGAAGTTTGAACAAGACAGCAGTACGTGCAGTTACCCTACAGCTGGGAGGTACTGGCTAGACAAGGCAAGCGCATGTACTCAGCGATGCTCTCTCTAATGGGAAGAATGTGCCTCAAACAGTTTTGCCAAAACAAAGCCTCTAATTAGCCAGGAGAAATAAACAGTTTCAGCCCAGATACAATTCTTAACTCTTCCTTACCACTTTTTTCATTTTACACGGGTAATATCCTGCTCTTTGTAAGAAGAGGGCCTCTGCCCAGCATCGCTTCCCTGTGCCCACGCTCCTTACACAAAATGTCAGGAGCAGACTTTCTGTCCCTTCAACAAAGTAGCTCTTTCCAGTGACACATAAAGACACAGCACCATATAAATTCAGCAGCACAACTGATGCTGCAGTATACAAGTAGTACTTTTTTCAGCTAAGACATTAAAAGCCTGTTAAAGAAACCTGTTAAACATCTGATAAGATTTTGATATACATGCAGAGCAAACAAGTGTACAAATACTCTCTCAGATTTCTAAAAGAGATTCTATGTCACATCCCTCCATCGTTATCTTCAAAAAAAAAAGCTGCCAAGATTAAAGCCTGCAGCTCACCCTATCTAGGCACTCTTCACCCTACAATAAGCCAAACCTGTAGCTCATCAAGACCGCTGGATTCTGATGCGAGTGCTACAGACTGAATATCCTGATAAGCCAAACCTGTAGCTCATCAAGACTGCTGGATTCTGATGTGAGTGCTGCAGCAGGATATTCAGTCTGCAGCTCGACTCGAATGAGCTATGTCTTAAACAAAAGGTGAACGACACAGGCTTGACACAATGCACCGATGTTGTGTTGATGGTGAATTCAAGCCACCACGCAATGCTTTTGCCTGTTGGGTTTTCAGTACACCCCAGATTTCAATGCTGACAGTTTGTGACTGTTTCCTGGAATTTAAACTGGGGAGATGTAAGGATTTCTTGCACTTTCAAAGGCAGCTCCCTACCCTAAAGAAGCACATTTACCAGTTGCTCTTTCTGAAGCAGTCAATCTCCAAACAGCTGATGATTGTGGCACTGCTACCATCGCGCTTATGTACAGCATTCACATCCTGTGGGGAAAAGCTCTCACAGCCACGTATGTCTGCAGACCTCGGCGTTTTACTGCCTGGAGCTATAGTGACCAGAATTTTCACAGCTACACACATTTATTTTAAAAACAGATTTCACTCAGCGCAGCAGCTGCTGTGCTGATTGCTTCTGCTCTGTTATTGTCCTAGTCTGAGGGACATCAGCTCAAGAACAAGCAGAGCAGGTCTGTACACAGATAAGATATTAGGTGCAGCTCTTGCGCTAAGGAGAAGTAGGGATTCAAGGATGAGCTGTCCCATATGGATGTAATACACTCAAGGCTGAGCAGGAGTGTCACCGCATGTGTATTAGCCCACAAAGCTCAGCTTTGAGCAGGGAATAATCCTGTTCCCTCTGTCTTCCAAAGGGTTCTTATGTCTGTGCCAGGTCTCCTTTTCTCCCTTATTCACACCTAAAAGAAAGCAGTCTTGCTTGGTTACGTGTTGCATGTCATTCGCCTTTGTCACTGTTACGCTACTGTGCGGAAAACTTCAGTGGACAGACACAGGGACTAGATTACCATCTAACCCTGGAAGGAGTTTGCTCCTCTGCAAGCAGTATGTCAGCGTTGCTCTCAGTGGAAGAGGAAAGAAAATACAAATAACACAGTTCAAACTATTTCTATTTCTTCACTAGTAGCAGGAAGGAAATGGCTTTTTGTGTCAAATTCGGAAAAGGAGAGAGCTGAAAAACAGAGTCCTGACAGCATACTGCTACTACCTTTGCTGCCGGCATCTCTAAAGAGAGCCTAGACACCCCACCAATACCGATTCAGATACCTGTTTCTCCTAGAGCATGGAGAGACACTACCAAGCCACCCACACCCCAACATTGCTACATGTATTAGACAATGCAAGGTTGTCCTATATCTGTATTAAGCTGTGACGGGATCATTTAAGACAGCGACAAGGAAGTGTTTTCCAGAGCCCCTTTGTGAACTCTTCAAATCATGACATACCTGTCCAAGTAGTTGACAATGTTGGGGTTTTTGTTTTCCCTCATCACAAGGATTTCATTAATAATCAGTTCTTTTTTGGGCTGCTGCTGCAAATTCATCTGTTTGATTGCAACCTGCAGTGAAGAAAGACCAAGGAAAGCATTATTACAGGCGTCCCCTAGAAACCTGCCAGTACCCACATACATGCAAACTGGGAAAACACTTTTTCATCACAGGTTGCTCAGCCTCTGCTCTTCCTGTGGAGGAATAACTTTATTTTACCATCTTCCCTCTCTTTTTTTTATTTTTTTCTCTGTGAGTTCCTGCAGCGAAGTCCATTTCCACGTGTGCTGGAGGACACTTAATGCCTAAAAAGGTAAGGGGAATTACTATTTTCATACTGGACCTTTATGTCACAGCTTGGTAGGCATCTCCATCTCCAACTTCTTGGTAACAAGAAAGAGATCCCCTTACTCTACTATGGGCTGATATGTCAAAAACTTTTTGCTTATTACAGGATTCTTATTATTTTATTTTGGATTGGATGTATCTGGAAGTTTTTTGGTGGTTTTTTTTTTTTTTTTTCCTCTGCTGTGCAAATCTGTGCTTCTAGAAATCTACAGCAGGACAGCCAGGCACAGAGAGGGTAATGTAGCCTAAGCTTAGTACTTCAAGGTGGCAATTTTATTTATTTCTGTCACCGCAAGACCTGGGGAAAAAAGGACCAGGCTGAAAAATAAGTGATTCAGCCTTATCCTCAGTCATAACTGAAGGGCAATAGGGAGGGATTTGTCAGTTGTAGCCCTTTGGCTTAGTAGCTTTCTGCCTGCTTCAGGATACCTGCATGTCTATATGCAGGAAGCAGGAGGGCACAACACATTTTCAACTCTTATGTTCAACTCTCCACACTACGAGTACTTCATGAGAGCACCTGGCCCGCAGAGAAGCCTTCAAACCAATAAGACTACTCAGCACAGCAAGAGGCAGACACCCTTCCATAGTTGTTACAACCCAACTACATTTGGTACAATATTTAGGGAGAGGGAATGAAATGTAATTATGCTTTTACAAAACTGCCACTTGCAGAGAAAGAGGCCTAGGTAAATGGAGGGGAGCCAGTAATTCCAGCTCACAAAAGCAAGGATTAAAAGAAGCAAGCCATGGAGTGCCAATATAGACGGATACAATTAGCATTTTGGTACTATAGCAGGGGAGACTATAGAAAAATCCCAACACATGAGAAGGCAAGAACAGACAGACACCACGCTGGTTTTCCACAGTATTCACAAGGGCTGCCAACAGTACTTAAAGACGACAAAACAAAACCCCCATGCTGCTCTTTGCACAAGACCAGAGAGAAGAATGAAAGATGAAGAGAGAGGAAGCATTTGAGGCAGATAAAGAAATCCCAGACCAATACTGAGGGAGCTTCAGAGAGGCTCCTGTACTTCCTTGCTCCCGTTCAGCAGTAGACCCATGTTCCAAGCGCATTTGGGGGAACTTTCCTTATCTAAGACTGTCCCGTGCATTAGGACACAAAATAAACAGCTGTAGTTATACTACATAGCCAGCATCAGTGAAAATCCTCAGTATTCTTAATCCCGGGAGCCACCCAATGCTCCTGTACAGTGCAAAATCAAGGAGTTTCCTTCCAGTACTTGCAAGATGTGCTGCAATTCACTGAGCTCAAAGGATTGGTAGCAGCATGCTTCACAGAAAGAAACAGGTCAACAACATGCCAAGGTCACAGCGATCCCAAATGCAAATTTAAAAATCCAGGGCCCAATCACACTAGCATAGTGGGAACGATTTAAAAGTCTGTTCTAACATAAGGGTTCAAATATTCACACAGGAGTCACCGAAGGGGTCCAGAAAGAAAACAGAAAACCAAAGGAGTTCCTCCTCCTATAAAATTTCCCATTGTTTCAAAATGAAACACAGCACCCCTTCCTCAGAGGCTGCAATTAAACTGTATTAATTCTTCAGGAACTGGGAAAAGGAGTTGAAGGAGTTTCACCAAAAAGCACAGTTATGAAATCTACTGGTGGATAACCCTGACGTTGTACAAATGCAAAGCAGACACGCATTGCTGCAGACTTCCATAAATATATTTGGAATAATGCATACACTTTCCTCTTTAAAAATTCTCCACCTAGCAATAATGGTTTCCAGAGATGCTGCATATCCGTCACTACTCGTTTATTATGCATGCATGCAATACGCAGGGCACTGTTCAATATTCGTGAGGGGGAAAAAAAAAAATAAAAAAGAAGACAGATGGACATTCCTTGTCCCTCAATTCAAGGGCAGAAAGCTAGTGGGGAAAAGGTGGGAGAGAAAGTATTTCTATGCAAGTCAACTAGTAAAGGTGTAGGAAGCAAAGGAGCAGAGGGCATATAAAAGAGTTTAAGTGGGGACAGGCAGGAATCTTGGGGATGAAGAGATAAACTTCTACTGAGGAATTATGCAGTCCGAACATTTGCTTCTAGCCCTTGTGGTCAAAGAAAGATTCTTTACAAATATGAAATGATTCAGGAATCAAAACTTGGGAAATATTTTTTTTCCAGTTCTCTGCCTAGACCACTCAACCATGCCTCGATAGTAAGAAAATAAATACCTCATTAAAAATACGGTTTGATGAATCCCTGAAAGACCGTCTTTACTTTGTAGCATCAACTTGAACTTTTAGCACACAATCCAAAATCCTCTGCTGTGGTATTCTGGTAGCACTTACCTCCTGTCCTGTAGCTATATCTATTGCCGTGTAAACTGTACCTGAGGCTCTACACAAAAGAGAGAAAAGAAAAAACCCACTTATTAGTGCCTCATAGCAAGACTGAGAACTAAACACGTGCCCCTTTCCACTTGTCTCTTTGAAGTGCTCTCAGTTCCACTCCTTTCCATGCAATAATTTCAGTGGTAAATATAATCTGAAATAGTTCTGAGCCAAGACTACTGTCAGAGCAGAAGCCAGAGAATTTATGGGGAACAAAGCTCGTAATAAGGGACACTATGGTCCTCCAAGCCCTTGCTGCTCAACCAGCAACTCAGCACAGCTTGTAGGACCGCGAGTTGATCCCGTTTTAACTGGCATGACTGCACTGCCCTGGCGTGCAGACTGCCCAACATGATTACAGAGCAGATAGGATCAGCTAAAGTAAACAAACGTGGCATTTGTAGTGAGGGAAATGGGAGTTTCAGCCTCAGCACTTGGATCTGACAGCAGATGTCTCAGTGAATCGCACTGATTTGCCTCACCACAGCCTCTCCCCCAACCCCTATTTTCCCCCTACCCTGCTAAGAGGGGCACAGCACCTGCATTGAGGAGAGTTAATTCAGAAAGCAAATCTGTGACTTGAAGATTGCCTTGCATGCTGAAAATAAGCAGTTCCTTCCCTGCTTGCAGCTGTATTTAGCAACCTGATCACCTAACGACATATTTTCTTACATTAAAAGACATCCGCACAAAAATCCCAGTCCTTGTGACTTGAGCCTTTGCCAAGAAAGGGAGAAAAGCAGGGGGGAAACCCACCAAAACAACTGACACACCCCCAAAAAATACAAAAGAAAAAGAAAACAAAATAACCACCAAACAAAATAAACTCTCCAAAGCATCACCAATAGCTTTTCCACTAAAGTAACTTTGCCTGGTTTCAGCGCTTCCTTCTCAGCATAAGGAAAGGTATAGAACAGAGAAGGAGAACATACGAACCCTTGTCCAATCTTCTCAAAACACGTGTACTTCTTTTTTGGATCGCCCACACTCACGATACTTCCTACAAAAATGAAACACAACAAAACCAAGAGAATTTTTTAAGTTCTTTTTCATGCAACTATAAGAACCAACTGTACTTTAAGAGCAGCCCCACGGCCACAGCGGGCTCTGCTGAGCCTCGTGAACCACTCATCAGAAACCCAGAGGTACACAAACACCAAGGAAGTCCTCGGTTATTTACATACATATCAGCTGTGGCATTCCCCCGTCACAGGTATTTCCCTTCAGAAATGGTAGAATACAGACATTAAGCACATTTAATCTTCACTAGCAGCTGGTGACTGCACACTGCTAGGCACAGCATGGGGATACGTGGCCCTCACACACGTACACACAATTATTTGCTGGCAGCCTGCAACTTAAAGTCACCCCTGGCTTCAACACACTGGATAATCTAAGATGCCACTGCACTGCAATCTCCTCTGAATTTGGAGGCCAGGGCCTCATTCATAGAATCATAGAATGGTTTAGGTTGGAAAGGACCTTGAAGATCATCAAGTTCCAACCTCCCTGCCACGGGCAGGGACACCTCCCACTAGACCAGGTTGCTCCAAGCCCCATCCAACCTGGCCTTGAACACCTCCAGGGATGGGGCAGCCACACCACCTCAGAGCCAACAGTCTGTTGCAAATCTACCCAAAGATTTCCCTACACCACAACAAATGCTGGGAGAATAGAAATTTCTGATGTTTCTGTAACAGCACAACCTCAGCCATTAGTGACCCAATGACTGGGTTGCAAGACTCGTCAGGGAAGCTGGAGAGACCCCTCAGAGCCAAACCTCCTCTGGCCTGACCTGGGCATTGCTCAGCTCCTCTTCTAGGAACCCAACAGTCAGTGCAGGTTTTAGCAGAAGTTACCACAGGACTGCAGCATCGCTCTGGTTTTGGAGAGTTACCCAAGGAATTCTCAGCTCATTCTCCCCTAATGTGGCTGTTCAGCCAGAAAAAGAGTGTATTACTGCATCCCTCAGAGGGAAAAGCACTTTGCCAGGTGTTCTGTAACACAGGGCGGTGAGGGGCCGGCTCAAGCTCAAGGTGGATTTGGCATCCACGAGGAACACGACGTTGTCCGTACGAGGGGAGGGAGCTCTCAGAGCAAGGGCAGGCTGCATAGATGCGCTGGAGTCCTGCATGGCAGGTTGCCAAAGGCTAAATTGGAAAAGCTGACAAAGGAGCATCACTGAAATGCAACGTGCCCTGCAAACATTAACTGATATTTATAACACCCCTACAGCGGGTGGGAATCGCACCCTTTTGAGGCTGAAGAAATCAGAGCCAACAATTCCTAAAGCTCAGCTGGGAGCAAGTCTCCTCTCTAACAGCACCAGGGTGGCTAAAAGGATCAAGGGATGCAGAGCTGCATCCGAGTTGGTGTTTGCAAGTCACTCAAGCTGCCAACATATGGTGCTGCTTTCACGGGGGTCTAAGGCTGAGCCTAAACAGATGTATGTTGGCAAAGAAATTGTTCATGGTCATTAGGCCAAGAAACCCAGTAGCAAGCAGAGTAAGAGCAGGCTATTTTCAGACACCGCTGGAAAGCAGCCAAACCCACAGGGTTTAGGGCAGCCAGAGGTAAAGGAAGGGAATATGGTCCATGTTTGGAGAGGAGGGTGGGAAGAAAAATCTGATTATATGAACCCCACTGTACAATTATGGAAGCAGTGCTGTCTGCCCTGAGGACACGCATTTCTGAACAAATGTTTGTAAACTTTCCCTCAAAGCCTAACAGAGGCTAGAAGTTCAGACTGTGAGACAGGCAAATATTTCCCCAAGGCAGTGACGGGACAGTGCTGCGGTGGCAGGAGGCAGTTGCCAATCTTGCCCTGCTTAATGCTCTCATCTGTAAAATGGGGTAATGTTTCCTACCTCCCAAAAAGCCAGGTGAGGATTCATTAATGTTCGCACCAATGCTGTGTTAACGCTAAGAGGTGGAGATTTATCAGCTTCCTTTTAATCTTTGCACATCTTCAATATGTGTAAATATATATATATGCTTTAAGATTTTAGTCATTTTATTCACATGTCAAACCAAAACATAAAAGATTTGAATGTCTTTGCACAAGTACAACTCCACTGCCCTCTGTGGAAAAACATCTGTTTACAACTGGATTAAACTTCATCGCGTATTTCTGACTAGCCCACATCTAGAAGCTGACACCTAACAGTGGCCACTGAACTTCATACACACCCCTGTATTTATAACAAAACCCATCAACGCTAAAGAATCAGTTCAGCCCTGAACACCACTTGCTGGAGCAAGCAAGGTGTCAGAAGGTGCATCTGCAGCCCCATACCCCCAAGAGTAGCACTTCCATTTCTCTTCATTACAGAAGTGAGAGTATTTGCATTAGAATAGCACCTTTTTCCTGCCACAGTCCCTGCTTGCTCCACCTGGTCACAAAAATGGCTTGAATCCTTAATGATACAAAGGTCCTGCTAACTAAGTGAGTGAAGTTGCTGTTTTGAAACAATGGGTACGAGTCTTCCAATAGCAAGCAGGTCCAGTTAACATGCCATCCATTCAATTTAGGTTTTATTCAGAGGAATGAGGTACCCAGATGCCATTTTAATTTATTTTTTTAAAGTTATACCCTCTGATTAAATTTTCCTTCATCTAGCTACTAGTTTTTGCTTCATAAAATACTGACCTTTAGGGGTATACCCTCAACCAAGGAGACCAGCCTGACCCCAGGGGTGCTAACACAATTTACATCAACTGACAAGCAAGGCATGTATGTAATTAATACAGGATTAGTAGTTCAAAGAATTAGAAACACTCTACCCTAATAAAAACTGGCCCAGGCCGAGGATAGCAATCACTTGCACAGAAGAGCTGCTTCAGCTGTTGGATATGCCACAGCATAGCCTAAAAATACCAGGCAGCAGAGGACCACTTTAGAAGACTCGTGAACTGCAGGTAGGGACTGTTAAAGACACCAGGACACAACAGAGATACATTTCTCAGAAATAACTACTAATTTGGGTACCCACACAATGTCAGGGCACTTAAAAATAACCAAATCACTTTACATTATGGCATTGCGGAAGGTGAATTTGGGAACGCATTAATTTTCTCTCCATCTTTTAGACACAGTAGGAAGCTCTGCTCACCTTGCATCCAACATTTCAATATAAACATCCATGCTCCAGAGCTACAGACTATCAAGATGCGGAACAATCTCAGACTTCATAGTTAAGTAGATGTTACTTATTCAGCGGCTGTTTTGCAGAGCCTGAGGATCTGTAACTCCCTGGGGACTTCAGTTGGCATCACAGGTGCTCAGCTTATATTTATGCTCCCCCCTTCCATCTGCCCCCAATTTTGGCACACAGTCACAATGCAATGTCTTCAGTAAGGGATCTCAAAATGGGAATGTCAAAACATTTCAGCTTATTAAGATTTTGAGAAATCAACACAGCAGGACCTCGAATTTAATTATATTTTAAAAAAAAAAAAAGACATACTTAATTTTTCCAAGATTTCTTCATCTGACATTTTTGGCTTTTTCTTTTGTTTCTCCGTGTTCCTGACCAGCATGTCAGGCATTGTTGTGCTGTTTTCCGAGGGAGAAGAAATAGGAGAGGTTGCCGCATCTCTGGTAGGAGGAGGAAGTGGGTCTATCACAGAGCGGGTGTATATCTAATTTGGTTGAGAAAAACATACATATTAATACAATTCAGATGAAGACTTAAACACTTCTATTCATCTTGTTACTATTCTTCTTGTCAGGGATGCATTTCTATATCTACTTTCTCACCAGCTAATGTCACTGAGCAAGGATTCTCTTGTTGTCCCCCCCAAGCAGGCAGGTGACAATACGAAGGTGCTCTGCCAGAAGGAATGGCTCCCACCTCCTCCCTCATGCTCCCAAGAAGGGCTCAGCACCGTGCCATGCAGCATGGATGAGGAGTCAGGCGAGACCCAACCATGATTGCAGTGGCGGGGGCTGAAGGAAAGTATTTCTGCTCACAGATCTCGTGTGTTCAGGGCGCGGAGCTATCACAGGCGGTGGAGCTGCATCATCTTCATCATCTTCATCTTCAGACACTGTGGGCACTGCAGGGGTCTCAGAGACAGCCTTCACATTCTGCGTGTGTTACACAAATGGCAAAAAGAAAAACCCAATTGCTTGTTACAAACAAAATATCTGACAAGTTCAAACCCCAAAGATCCTGAGCCTTCATGGGAAATGGAATGACAGTCCAGCACTACCAGACACAACTGTTCAGACAGAGCTCATCACGGGCCTGTGTGATCGCAACCCTCTTCCCAAGGACATGAGACCCAGCTGGGCTCTCTCACTGCCTTCCCAACACCCACACGGCAGACCCAGCAACTCTGGGGACAACTTCTGGGTTTGGACATATCTGTCCCTATTTATGTTGCCTCTTTTGTTTTGCTGCTTTGATCCAAACCCTGAGATTAGAGATTTCAGTCTTTAAATGCCTTAATTTGCATCAAAATCTTAATGCTTTCTCTTAAAGTTGGAAGGTCAAGTTAACATCAACTTAGGTCTTGTGACTCAGAAATAAGTAATGAGAGAATTATGGAAGCAGAATCACTGAATCACGGAACCCGGTAAAATCATTTCAAATTCCTTTCAAAATTGCTTTCTAAAGGAAAATTTCACAAAAAAAAAATAGGAACAATGATTTTTTTAAAAAAAAAAAGTTTTGGAAGTGGCTAAAAATATTTATCTGGAATTTTTTTGCAATATTGTGATCAGAACTCAGAGCCACTTTTAAACTTTTAAATTGGATTTGAAGTTCATGGCATCCTTTACACTATAAACATTTCAAAATAAACTTGTCAAGCTCCTCAACCCACTAGACCAGTTCTGCTTGTGCTCCTGCTTCCATGTTGTTTATCATCAGTTCCCCAAGATTGGCAGGGGGAAAAGTGTTAAAGTTCTCTCTGAAAGAGGGGGAAAACAACATTTACTGAATCTAAAATATTTGAAGTCACCAGCATCCTGACATATAACTGCTAAAGTGCCCTTGACATAACACAAAAGCTTAGCCTGTTAAAAGCATCAACACTGAGAATTTCCTGAATATCCCCAAAATTAAAAGTTACTCAGCGTCTTCCAAAAACATCAGGCTATCTCACTAGACTGGTAACTACTGCTTTTTTCAGGATTTACTTTCAAATCCAACAGCTCGGATATTCTAAGCTCCTGAGGACTGACGTACAATGACATGTAATAATAAACAATGGCAAAAACATTCTCCTTTTCTTTTCTCAAAAAGTCCTAAATTGTCAGATCCGAATACTCTGCCTTCAGAAGGAAACAGAACAAGCCAGCTCTAGCTAATGGCATGGCAGTGAGAAAACAAGAGATGAGGAAATTGTGGGGTTTTATGAATCATCTTAAATTAAAAGTTTTGTTTCTTCTATCTCACATGTACATACAGAAACATATCGTGTCTCCAAACAAGCAAACAGGAGTGGTGCCTGCCCTGGTAAGGACAGAGTAAAGGTCAAGCAGTGAGGAGGAAATCCTTTTATTTCCTTTTCTGCTGGAGATTAGTTTGGTTAATCAACACTAATCAACATTAGTTTTGGTCAATCAGACCATGCAGGTTAGTAATTAAACTTTGTTGCCTGTTTATAGAGACATATAAAACCTGAGAGAAGAGTGGTTATCAAAGTCTAGGTACATAAACAGATAGACTTCTATGAAAACAGAACTATTTGTACTCATTAATTCACCAATTTCTATTCACCAATTCACTGTTCACTAATAAAAGCTACTTCTGCATACTTGATTCCTCCCCAGCTAGAAAAAGGTGAAAGGAGCGTGCCTGTTTTTATAAACACGTATTCAACTATACAAATATATGTAGTTCAGACTTTAAAACACCAAGCAAACTAGAAGGTTACATGTAAACTACTTTATGCAAGTTTTTAAATCCCCAAACTCGACACAGAATGTGAATATAAGGCTTACCAATGTATTTGATGAATTGTAATCCTCTGTCGCTTTATCTGAAAAAGACAAGATAGTAATGCCATTACAAATGAATTGCAAATGCAGCAGCAGTGGGGAGAGGAGAAAGGGACAAGCTCCCTTCAGAAGGGGCAGGAAAAAAGGTTGCTCCCAAACCCAGGCATTACCTTCAGCTCCCCAAAACAAGCTGACACCTGGCAGATATGGGGATAGTGGGTAAAAAATTCTGCAGACAAATGCAGGGGGCCCAAATCCCTGCTGCAGGAGGGGAGCATTTCTCAGTGCAACACCTGAATGAATACTGTCCTCCATCCATAGACACAGAATATTTTCAATGGGCTAAATCACCAGCAGAGGCACTGCAGCCAGCCCAAGACCTGCAAAATGTTCAGCCTCAGCCACCTAACTTCCTGGGACAGCAACAGAGGACCCCATGAGTCAAATGGTGGGCTTCTTGTTTGACTATCCAGCCGCATATGGATAAAATTTGTTCTTTTATCCGTGCCTGGAGACTTCCTAATTAATACCAGTTTTGGTGACATAGTTCTATCCTCTTAAAAACAAAACCGAAACAAAAACCAAAGTGGCAGCCCTCAGCACAAAAAAGACATGGACCTGTTTGGGTGCGTGCAGAGGAAGCCATGAAGATGATCAGAGGGCTGGAGCACCTCTGCTGTGAGGACAAGCTGAGAGAGTTGGGGTGGTTCAGCCTGGAGAAGAGAAGGCTCCCGGGAGACCTTAGAACCCCTTCCAGTCCCCGTAAAAGGGCTACAGGAAAGATGGAGACAAACTTTTTAGCAGGGCCTGTTGCAATAGGACAAGGGGTAATGGTTTTAAACTAGAAGAGGGAAGATTTAGACTAGATAGAAGGAAGAAATTTTTTACACTGAGGGTGGTGAGACACTGGCCCAGGTTGGCAGAGAGGTGGTATATGCCCCATCCCTGGAAACATTTCAGGTCAGGTTGGATGAGGCTCTGAGCAACCTGATTTAGTTGAAGATATCCCAGCTCATTGCAGAGGGGTGGGTGGGTTACATGGCCTTTAAAGGTCTCTTCCAAACCAAACTATTCTATGATTCTCTGATTAATATTTAGAAAGGGAAGAAGTTAGAGTTGAAAGGGAAAAAGGAGTTGTGGTTGCGGGAGCCTTCCAGTGGGCAGGTAATCTATACAAAAAAGGCACAAAAGCTTGGCAGCTTGGATTTTTAGAGGAATCCAGCCAGCAGTTATCAAGCACCTAGCAGCTGAGGCATATTCCTCAATCACAGCACACAGGAGCAGAGAGATGCTCGCCCCAAGCGTGCATGAAGCAGCATCCACACCCATGAGGGAAACTGAAACTGGTGCAAAATTTAGCTGCCTGTTTTCTCCAGAGATTTTCATCCCTGGGAACCCAACACCAACACTCTGGGATCTACCTTGCAGACGCTGGCTGTAAGCTTCAGAAAACCTACGTGTTTTAGGATTTAGCCAGTTGACTGACCTCCTCTCTTGCAGCTATGCTGGGCATCAGGATTAACAGAACAGCATTTTAAAGGAAGAGGAGTGCTTGAGCAGCCACAGAATCTCATTCACATTTTCCTTGAAAAGACAGATCTACATGTTGATTAAATGAAAGAAACCCCATGGAAAGTTGGACAAAGCAGCTGTATGAGATGATCGCCATGTACCTGTGAAACTCATGTACTTCTGGCTGTTGGAAATCTTCTTGGAGTTGTAAAACTCCAAGACGTCCAGCACTGCCTGGGGGTTCTTCTTCTGCTCCGACTTGGTGATGTTGGAAGTCTGCAGTAAACGTGCCCATTGCTCCGGCATTCCCTGTGGGGAGACGTACCTCATTAGCCCACAGTCAGACTAATGTGGTTCACACCACACACACCTGCCACTGCAGCTCTGCCACACAGTGTCTGAGGTTACTCGATGCTGTGAGGGAAACGGGGAGAAAAGAGGAGAGGAAAGAAAAAGAGGCGGTGGATCGATACCTTCCTAGCCACTGTCTGCTACAAGTCATATGTTCCTTACATGGACATGCAAATGCCACTCCATTCCCGGGGCTCTGGGTGAGCCCCACATCCTTTGAAGACCAAAACTCAAAAGACAGAAAGGAGCAGACCCAAATGCTGCAGTTCAAGAAGAGCCTCCAGCAAAAGAAAACTCTTTAAACACAGGCCCACAGATATTTACACATATCCAAGAAAGACTACAGAAGTACCATACACTGAATGTACGCATTTAGCACAACGAACATGCAACATTCACTTGGGTCTTCTTGTAGCACTACAGTTCTTTCATAATAGTGGTTTGGTAACCACTATTGTAACCAGAGCTAGGAAAGTAGAGACGTTAACCGCACATATGAAGCTCAGAATGTCATTACAAGGACATCATTTCAGCCAGAAAATAGAGACATCTGGAGTACAGCCTGACCTGTACCTTTCACCACCAACAAAGGGAAGTTTGTATAGATGAAGTGGCAAGGGACTGGGCTCCTTTCTCAATAAAGTTACCCTCCCTGTTCAAAAGGACTGCTGCATACGCCACTCAGGTAATGCCCCCTGGAACATCTAGGTTAACTGGGGCAAGTCTAGAGGCTGACATGCAAAACACAACTGTACACACGATTCAGGTTAGGAGAGCAAAGTCCCTGAAAAAGAAGCATATTAAAGACAGGTAAAAACACAAACAACTTCTGCTGCTATTAAATACTACCTCGTAATCAAATTAAGAAGAATAATATGATGAAATACAACTCTGTCTTCTCAGTATTTTGCATGTCAATAAAAAAAAAAACCAAAACATAAAAGCATCTGACATTTAGCTTTAGGGCAGCACATACACATTCTGTCATGAACAGTTATGCACAGTTGTGCATCTCCTGAAGGGGAACTCTCAGAGCCCCATTTGGTGCACGCAGACTATGCTGTAGACCTAACCCAGCTCTAGAAGAGACGGGGAGGGGAAAGGAAGACAGATATACCGTGTTTTCTTGTCCACATCAGCCAAAAAAGAGGAAAGGAAAAGTTTGCTGGCAGCCTGGGCTCCTGGGATGTGCCAAGTTTGACAAACAGTCTCTCAACAGAAATTAGTGGGTAACCTCTGCAGATGTGTTTCAAAGGAGATCAAACTAGATGATGGTAATAGCCTTTCCAGCATTACTATATAGAAGATTAATGGGTCCTGGCTCCTCCCAGCAATAAGCCAAACCACATCATTCTTTTCCTCCAGATTCACTTACTGTGAATTCTCCTGTGACTGCATCAAACCCCACATGAATCGTGTGTTCAAAGTCTGAAGGGAGGGAGATCTCCGGCCGCTCCTTCTCTTTCTTTTTATTGGCTGCAAGAGACAACAACAAGAGAAATAATCTGTAAGTACATCAAGAATTCAAATCTCCCCAGTAGCTTCCAATTCACCTACCCAACCACGCCCCCCTTTTACTAGTTATAGGATTTCGATCTGGGGCAGACAAACAGCAAGTTTAAAAACTTTGTCACCTCGCTTAAGAGTAGACCCAGAGAGTGCACAACAAAAATCAAACTCTTATAACACAGGACAAGGGTAAGACAAGGAAACTGATATTTTGGGTATGTCAAGTAGCAACCGGTATGGCTAGACTCAGTAGCACAAGAGCTATTTACCTAAAATATTCGCTCAAACTTATACAGGTCAGAGTCAAAAGCACTATAGCGGCAGTTAAGTGGGAGCCATGCAGTTTTGAACACTTTTTTTTATTTGTTGTTTTAAGGAACTTTAAAAATATATATATTATGCTCTGTTAAATATACACTCGCCTCTCACATTAAGACAGGAACAAAATTAACTACAAATACTCCTTATGAATGGCTTCCTTCTTCCTACATCCTCAAAACCGAGTTTATGAAGAAAACCAAATATAACATATGTGCTTCTGCTACAGAATCTTATATTAACCAAACCATTTATATTCTTCAGCTCACAAAATGACCTAAACATGGTTTTAATAACAAGCTTTGAAGTCACAGAGCAAGAAAGCAAAATCTGGCAGGTGAGGAGCAGAAGTCAAAGAAACAGGAAAGGAAAAAAAATCAAAGCAGATGCACTCTGCAAGTTTTCAAGTCAAGTCTTCAAACAAGATTATCATTATGCTTTGGATTAAGTTGATCCATATTCATGACATATTAAGTACTCCACCTTCCTTTTAATATTTACTGTATTCACGAAATTGATACCAGTTTAAGGAAGAACCACATTCTACTTGTATTTGCTGCTGCTTGCAGTTATAAAACAAAGAGAGCCAGGAGAAGGTGACTAAACCACTTGTGTTTCCCAGCTGCTACCTCTTGTATCTAAAGCCAAACAGAACTTGTTTCGTGGCTGACATTCCCCAGTGCGTTTTTGGGAACATGAACGCCAAAGCCCAGGTATTTCAGAAACCTGTGAGGCTGATGCTCAATGTTGCAATTATTTAAGACGCTGCTGGTGGTTAGTTGTGCAGAGATGGCAAGGGCCTGCCCCAAAGGACCAAATCCCATTTCCTTCAACGCCAGCCCTGGCACCGTTCTCTGTGTCATTACAGAGTTACTGTTGCACGGATTAATTTTGGAGAAAGAAAAGGATCAGATGCTCCATTTGGGACATGAAGCTGGAACAGATTGTTTTCGATCCCTCTTTCAAACAATGGGGATGGGGGAAGCTGAATCGCAGAAGAGCGACAGAGTTGCCAAGGGGAAGGAGAAGAGAAAGCTGCAATGCTGGAGGAGCCATCATGGGGGTGGAGCTAGAAGGAGACAGAAGCAGCTGCTGGTTAGCAGATGGTGAGCATCTGCAGCACGGAGGCCTCGCTAAAGAAGGAACAAGCAGCTGCATCCAGCAGGTATACAGAAAAAGCTGCATGCATTAGCAGTGGATGGAAAGCAAAGGGAAAACAGGCGGAGAGAGTCATCAGAGCCACCATATTCTATAGGATCAGTCCATTCCTCCAAGGCAGAGAGTAAAGTGTCAGCTCAGCCTAGAAGCCCGTAGCTCAGGTGAGGAAGAAGAGGGCACCTGCACTAGCACCACTACGCAGGAGTGCTGCGCACCCACACATGGTCCGGGATGACTGCCACAGTAGATTGCAACGTACCCCTAAAAAAGCCTACGGGCATTAAGTTGCTATCCAGAAGTCAATACACTTAAGTGTTGGGGTTTTTTTTATTTCTACATTCAGACATCCCGAGCTCCCTGCCGCACACCCAAATCCCAACAAACTTCTCTGCAACCAACTGTTCCAGTATCCACTCAACCAGCAAACCAAGATGACTGCTGACTGCTAACTTATCCAAGCAGGAGACGATGGCCTGAACGAGCCTCAGCTACTGAGAGCAGTACAGACAGTTCTGGAAGGATTGATTAAATAACATCATGGTCTCTGTCACATCAACACTACAGCTCTCTGTTCAGGTTCAACACAAAGGTAGAGAGTTTCAGTCAGATACACTGCAATATAGGTCTGCATTTATGGCTTATTTTCTTCTCCTCTACCCAAAGCAATTAATATTCTCCTGCAACCGTTTCCTACAGCATCTCAACACTTTGCATTTTCCCTGACTCTCACCAACTCTTTGGGACAGCTACCACAAGCTCACGCTCAAATCACTTTGCCTTAGTGATAATGTTACAGCAAGTGAAACCATAATTGCTCTGTACACTTTTTTTAAATCTGCCTGCCACGCTCAGGGTTTTATAGCACCAGACTGAATTCATCATCATGTGAACACACATGAAGCCAGCACATGAATTCAGAAACTTTCCTCCAGCAGTCTCAGAGGACAATGAACTTCAGAAGCTTTTGATTCAAAATCTGACAGATCTAAAAGCCTACACATATTAAACCATTAGTAACATAGTTGCTTTTTGCGGCAGATATTTATGTCATAGCAGGAGGTAGAAGACAAAAAAGAATTACAGATGGGCACTCCCAATCTTGCTGAACACTTAATCCCCCTCTACAGAGATTATATTATCCTTGCAATGGAGTCAAAAAGCCTTGAAGAATCTTAAATAAAAAAAATAAATAAAAAATAAATCGTATATCTGTTTAAGAAGGCCTACCTACCACCAAGTGCTTTATTCCCACAAACACCTCACCACCTTTTCATTCAAAACCTCACACGTCTGACGCTGTTACAAGAGCCACCCATGAAGTTTCTTTACGATGCCCTGACAACTTGAGCTGCAACCAGGAAGCACGATGTCCCACTGTGAAGTAAGGCCACGAGCCCATCCTGAAGCGTACTGAGATGAGAAAGGTCTTCTCCACTGGTAAGGTCGAGTAGAGTGCTCCCTCTGTCACCATGCAGAGGGCTCCCGGGCGCTGCAAACTGTCACCCTGTGGGTAAAACCCTGCCTCTGTGCAAAGCTGCAGCTGAGCTCAGAGGCGCTAGATGTGCCACATTCAAGCCAAATTCATACCCTCAACTAGGACACTGATGAGCCCTGAGACCAAGAAACTTCAGATATTTACAACTCCTGGTGAAAGCAACAAGTCCCGCAAGCTCTGCATCCATTTGCATAGGATCCATCCAATATTAAGCTGATGGTTTTTAAAGACCAATTTTGGGGTTTAGGCTGGGACAGAGAAAAATCAGGACTGGAAATTACATCCTAAATTTTGCCGGCAGAGCATGACACCTCCAAAGCAGCCTGGCAAGGGGACATAGCTCAATGAAAGTATGCAAGCATGCGTAAGGCCCAGTATTTAAGCCCCACAGGTACTTTATACCACAGGTCTGTTCATGCATAGGGGTAGCACAATGGAAGAGACACTTTCCAAAGCACCTTCAGCTAGAACTGCCCTTCTTGATCCAGCAACCTGTAAAAGATGCTCTCAAGATGTCCCCCCTTCGTTGGCCTCCCCTCCGATCTGAGCCCACAAGATCTCAATAGGTCCGTGGCCTGCTCCACAGCAGGACTCCATGTGTTTCAGTTGCACCTCTGCATAAAGTACAACCTCTTCACCATCTTTCCGACCCATCCTTTGTGAAGTGCCTGCTCCAGTACTGCTCCCTGCCCAGAGTAAAGAGCTACCACGTCTCTGAAGGGATTGACAGCATCAGCTTCAGCAGCTCTCATCCATATTTGCTGGCAAAATTAACCTCCGAGCACTTCAGATCTTTGCAGGCTCTTTGCAAACCCAGCAGAGGTTAAACACAAACCATTGGCTTCCCTGGGTAAAGTTCCAAAAGTCATGCATTTGCCCCAAATTACATTACTCTAACTGAAGAGAAACCAACTCCCCTTTTAGTCCATCCAAACTAACAAATAACACCCAAATTATTTCAGGCCTAAACCAGAGAGAGATGTCTGAACACCTGGGAACTTCACTAACATTTAAGAAACAGGAGGCACTGGGAATTTAGTTGTCATCATGAGATCAGAAGAAGTTTTCATAAGATAAAAATCAACCAATCTGAACTGAAGGTGACAGAGTTAAAGGTATTTTTTGCTCAACAGGAATTAAAGGACAGAAGCAACCATTCTCGTTCGGGCAGGTGTATTGCAACAGAAGGCTCTGCTGGGCTTGGCTAAACAAAAACCTCTCATGTCTCGAAGCATCTGCTGCGTTGGCCAATCTTCAGTAAATGCAGCCATCTTCAAATCAGTAGCAGCCTGTCTGCTGATTTAACACGAGCCCTTCACTGCGGCAGCTCTCCTTCAAAACCTACTTCAAACTAGAGTTTCAGGGTGTATTTATTTTACTCTCTCATAAATTTCAGGCGATTTCTTTGTTCTCTGCACCTGTTGAGCCTTGTTCTCTGCAACTGTTGAGCCTTGAAATCTAAAAGCTCCACTCCCTCCTTTCTTTTCCCTTGTGTCTTCCTTAAGTGGACACAAAAATCCTGCAGCTCTTTAGCAACAGTACTCATAATGGCAAGTTCTAACCAAGATCCAGCAAACTTTTCACATTGAGTTCATGGGTTTGTGGATTGCATAATCAAACCCCCATGTTTGTAAAACAATCCAAAGTTGCCAAAGGTGTCAGATGATGATAATAATAATAATGAATGCTGCAATATTTTGTACAAAAGGAACCCACGTCTTATTTAGATGAGTGGAAGTGTCACTCCAATTAATCTTTTTGCTAACAAAAATTAAGGAGACAGCCTCCCTCCCGAAGGCCAGAAAATTGAAGATACCTAGGCTTGACTTTAGTTATCCAGTGTCCAGATAGCATTGCAATGCAGACTCTACAGAAAGCTGATGTATTAGAAAGAGGAACTCAAAAAAATAGGTCAGATATAAAAAGAAAACAGCACGTATTAGGGGATGGAGATAGTTTTTTCTTACATCACTTCAAAAGATTCACATGAGAGAGGTTTTTAAAATATCCTGATCTTAAAAATTAGAATTTCATGTACAGTGCACAGTTCCCATCTCCATTTCCATCTGTTACAGTCCCTGTAACAGGAGAAAATTCCTTCAGTTCACAAGAAATGTGCAAGAATTTGCAGTAACGGATTACTCTCAACAGCAAGTAGACAATGCCTGACCCAAACACCAGAACAGGGTACATGAGCATGCAGTAACATATGACAGGCCTGGCAGGAGATGGCCTGTTAATCATGCTTAACTCAAATTATTTGCTGTTTAAAACAACAAGCAAGCAAAAGACCTCTCCCCACTCCCCACCACAGGAATTGCCAATGCCATCTTTAAATGACCAGCTTGTAATTAGTAAAAAAATCTATGATTTTCAAGACCATTAAGGACAAGTCAGGCTAGGAAGTAGCAGAGCTAGTCCCAGTACTCAGGGAGACTGTTCTCATAATTTAAAAAGAAGGAAAAAAAAAGGCACAAAATAGAGTAAATGGGATGGATTAAATGTGGCAGGAATTATCATTAAGAAAATAGATCTACAGCTAGCACCTTATGTACCCCAAAATGACTAAGACAAGTTGTGCAGGAAACAAATACCCAACATTTTCTAGAACCTAAACCATTACTAAGTTTCAGGTGCTTAACTCGGGTCATTCAGAGCAACATTCAGACAGGAGGTTTATAAGACAAGACAAAATACTGTACTTTTATCTCCTGGTAAAATAGCACGGTAAAATCGATCCTTTCTTTTCTTTTCTTCTGGGTTGGGAGGCAAAGGTTTTGAGCCATGGTTTAAAGTCCCAGCATCTTTGCTTCCTGATCCAATCATAGTGCTGGTATTTCTCATGGGAGGAGCAGGCGGTTTGTCTTCTGTTTCAACTCCATTGTTAGACATCTTCAGGCGGGAAGGCCGTTACTAGGAACAGGAAAAAGAAACCAAGAAGCTTTATTTATTTATTGTAAACTAGTATCACACCGTGTGAAGTAAACCACACACAGGTATTTGCAGACGAGCCTGTAACTTCATATCAACACAGACCAAGCATCAGTGTGACAAATTCTACTTAAACTCCAAACTTTTCCTGTTAACAAGACTACGTTCAAGCATTTGAGTTATTGATCATCAAGAAAAGCCTGGTTCAGGATGCAGCCAATTCTCAAGCAACCCATGGAGCAGAAGTGTAGGGTGGGGAGGAAAAGCAGTAAATACCAGGTAGCAAAGATACCTGAGAGGAGCCAAAAAGTTGCCGAGCTCATAAGACCTCTCAGATCCATGCAAGTTCCACTAAAAACGACGTCAAAATGTTTCATTCAGTCTCCAGCACAGCACAATGCAGAAAGACCGAAGTTTGCACTCAAAAGAGTTTCGATGCAGCTGCTCAGCCTCCTTCGCTAAAAAGCCGCTGAACCGGTTCAGAGGCCAAGACAGCCGGGAAGGTGCGTAGCTGGACCCACGTCACCTCAGACGCAGTGCCACGGCCCTCGCTGGTGTTAAGCTGGCGCTGGCCTTTCCACGGTAGCGGCACACTTCAGGCACAATTCAAACCGCCGGAAAGTTGACTGCATTTTGTTCTGTTAGAATGGTCAAACAAAACTAGATCCCCAACACACACATAAATCCCTAAGTAAATAATCCCTGCTGTGCAGATTTAAAGACGGAAGCATTGGAACAGGGTAATAGATTATTCTGCAACAACTAGCTTGTTCCACCCAAATGAGATCAGCGTTACTCCAGACACAGCCTGGCTGCAGCGAGATCCTTCTGGAAACTGGAATTCATCCGCGTTATGTTCTCTAAAGAAAGTTGGTAGTTAACTGCAGAACAAAGACCAAAGCAGGAACAGTTTCTGTTTGGGTGGAAGAAGCAGTTCAACAGCTCTATGAATTTCACAAGCAGTAAGGGAAGATGTTTCGCTCAGGGAGAATTATTGGGTGGCAGAAAGTCAAAAGCAGTTTGCTCTTCACAAGTGAGAAGTCCAGTTTCAAAGCCGAGATCGCTGCTGGCTTCCAGGGAGCTGCTTTTCCATAGGCTGGACTCAGAGGAACCACACTGGGTCACACTCCAAACAAATCCCACAACCCCACGACAGTCCTATGACCGCACACCATCACCCTGCCAGACTTCAAAGTCTTTGGCCCAGCTACCGGTGCTTAGCCTTAACTGGAAAGATTTGAACCCAGGGCACACTGCTCTCATAGCTGCAGGGAGTTGCGAAAGGCAAACGCTGCCTGCAGAAGGCACTCAGCTGCAACATGTTAGACTTTGCTGAAAGCAGCGGTTCCCTAGCTGTCACTGGTCTTCAGCTCCACCTTCTCCTCCACTTGTTTGGTTCCTGGTTCCTTCATACTTGCTCTTAAACAGGAGAGCTGACAGTATTGTGCAGCCCGTAAGGCTTCGGACAAGTCTTCCCACACAGGGAGCTTTGCAAGAGGTTTGACCCCAGCCCCGCTTCCCCCCAACATGACTCTGCAATGGAATTTTAAATGACAGAGTAGCATTTGGAGTATTGATTTTAACTGTGGGACAGTTTTGGCATTTGGGAGGAGTGAGGGGAAATGAGCTGCGCATTTGTCTGGGCATGTTCAGGCACATGCCCTGTGCACCTCCCACCACTCACACTTCAGACTGATGCCATTCTCCAGTATAAAACGGAGCAGAGAAGTGGTGCAAACGACTACTCGCCCTGTTGAAGCAGTGGAAAAAAAGTCTAAACTCAAACCAAACTGGTAAATTTGGCAGCCACTGCTGCACGCGTATCTTTGCAACATAAAGATACTGAGGCCTCACTGATGGGCTTTGCACATCTCAGTGTCAGTGGTGTTGGTACTGAACTGGCACAACTAAAGCATTTGAAACGACATAAGCAGAAGTGCCACATAAGAGCTGCGTTCTTTGCATTGATGCTTATTTAACCGTGAGAAAGCAAACTGCTGGGAGGGTTCCAGGAATACGCTGCAAGTAGGGAAGCAGAAGGAAAATGAATGTTAGCAGCTCCCCCCAGGAGTGGACACCACATTTGCTGCTGTAACACCCTGTTTTACCCGCCCAGGGGCTTGAATAAAGGTGTACCCAAAGATTCCCCCACCAGCCAGATATCCTGGAGCTGCAGGCATGGCGGAGACGGCAGAGGAGACTGTCTCATTGCTGGGTCCCTCTCCCACCAAGCAGAGAGGCGAGTAGGTGAGAATCAGTGCTTGCTACCTGCTGTCAGAGGCACGGGACAGCGTAAAGTTTACTGTATTGGGGAATGGATGCAACATCGGACCGAAGGGCACTACGAGGAAGAGAACAGAGCAGAGCGTGTGGCTCCAGGCTGGAGAAAAAGAAGTGAGAAGAGGCAGAAGCACACATCCCCACACCCTCAGATTATACATAGAGGCTGGCCTAGTGATGGGGGAAGGAAAAAGAACATAAGCAAAAAAAAAACCAAAACACAAAAAACAAACCACACAGCATGACAACATAAGGAAAACCTCTGTGTGTCAAGCATCCTCAATCTCAGTTCCACCATTGTCCCCCAGGGACATCTGCTCACAGTTTCTTCAATATACGAGGGTTTTTCAAAATCCCTCAGTCGGAAAGGATAGAGCACAAGTGAATTACTGTTTTACCGCAGGGCTAGAAACACTGGCAGTACAAGCTCTTGTTTATCTTACATTATTCCCTGAATGAGCTGAGAAGTTATGTAGTTTAACAAACAATATTGTTTTACACCTATTTGATAACTGCAACTTTCATGTGGGCAAAGCCTACAGTACACCCTCTCCTTTCTTCTCCATCGCTCAAGCCCCCAGACCTTCTGCCTCATCAAAGACTTACCTTTGGAGTGACAAGAGCTATTTAATCTGTTTGCAGATGGGAGGGTGAGAGAAATCCTTCAACCCACGAAACTGAGAGACTGGTTCTACAGAAGTTATACCCTGTAACAGAAGCACTATCCCAGAAGGTTCCCCAAAAGCCTTTTCCCACTACGTATTTAAAGCGAAAAGCAAAAACCTGCTTACATGAGTCCTCTCGCTGTGATACAGAGACACAGCCTATCCCCAAATTCAACATCGTTATACTTTAAACTTCTGTTGGCTTCCAAGTATGTGGATGAAAACCTGTCCTGACAGAATTACACCCACCTCTCCAGGGTTTTACAGCAGAGCTGAGCCCCGAGAGCACAAAGCCATACAGAGGGAGCCGTCTCCCTCACCATAGCCTAGCTGACTGCACAAATTCTCTTCTTCCTAAAATAATCTCCTGCCAATTCACACATAAGCAGGCTTTAAACAACCCCCCCCTTGTGCAGGCCCTGCTCAAATTCAGAGCACCAGGCAATTGCTTCACCAGCCGGCATAACATCAGCGCTACGACACCAAAGTGGGTCAATCCATCCTAACAGGAATGCGGAGCGTCACCAGACCCGAGTTACTTCCGAGTTACACACCAGCATGACTGCGCTTAGAGAAATTCATCTTATGTTTCCAGGGTATGATTAAGTGAACAGTGGAAGCAATGAAACAGCACATGAACTTTTCAACTGCAGTCAGATGAGGGAATACATTTTAGCTGCAGACGCAATTATTCTCAACTACTACATATATTAAAATACCAGCACTCAAACCAATCCCCACAGACACCACTAGGAAGGCATAGCCATAATGTAGGACTATTGTTTCTGCAGCCATTTGGGAGTACTGAAAGTTCGAGTAGTTTCAGCACACAGTACTTAGGAAAATAAGTTTTATTCCGTCCTGCAACTTAGGCCTGCCATAAGTTAAGTTACAGAGGCCTTCAAATGCTCCGTGCCCCCCCTCGCCCCCCCAAATCAACTTTTGAAACCCATTAGTTAAATTCGATTACCCCACCCTCAACAGAGTGGAACAGCAGACCTGACAAAGTCTCCTTTCACACCTACAAAACACTTCTGCAGACAGGAAGGAATGACAGACAACCACGCACAAGGGGACAAGAGTCTCAGGAAACCACTTGGTGGTTCAAGACAGAGAAAGCAGAGGTACTCAACAGAAGAGAGCACCCACAGGTGCCAACAGCGGCGTCCAGGAGTTCAGAGTACACAGACTCTCGTCTGATCCGCACAGGGCTGCTGAGCCGTGTGAAGCAGATATGGCTCAAAATCATGACGTTTATGGCTGTAGTTTTCCTGTAATACAGGCACAGGCTCACGAGCCGTTCATTTAGCAGAGTGGGACCCCAACATATGCGGAGCCTTCTGGCACTACTGTGTGTAAAACACACACACGCGCGCGAAGGAAAAAAAAAAAAAAAGAGAACAAAGATCCTCTATTTATGTCATTTTTCCTTCTGGTAAACCACATCATTTCAAACCTGATGTTCCACGCTGAACTGTAAGTTTCTACCAAGCTGGTTGTGTTTTCTTTGCATTCCTCAGCAAGACAGGCAGATGACTGATTGCTAAAACAGAAAGCAATTAAAAAGTCAGAGGACCTGAAACCTACGCTACAGTAGATGCCATAAAGATAAGTATGTCCAACGCATACTAATTGCTGGAATCAACACAAAAACTCATAAAAGAGCCATCTATAATTCATGCAGTCTGGCAAGACAGTAGCTGTAAGTTACTCACTACAACTTACAGATGAATAAACTATATTAAACAAGGGAGGGGGGAGGGAGACGCTCAGCAACCATTTGTCCCCTCTCTGCCTGTTACCAGAAGGAAATCTCTTATTTTTCCAAGATGCTATTTTTCTGTTGTTGTCGGGGTGAGGAAAGGGTGTCTTGCCCACAAAAAAAAGGCAGAAAGATTCCTGACCTTTAATTGAGTGGATCCTGATCAGAACAAGCGTTTTACCTCTGCACCAGTATCCCTGCACCCTTCCACCCCATAGCTAGAGATTGCTCATGCACACACACAGAGTTAAAAATCTCCTTCTTCCTCCTTGCACTGCCCTGGTGGTAAGGAGCAGGGGCTGTCCCCTGCTCTGTTCAAACACATTGCAAGCAGATTCCCTCCCCCTGTGCCACGCTTTCATCCAAATCCCAGCAGAAAATTAACAGCAGAGTTTACCAGCTGGGTTTCGATACAGGATG